CCAAAAAGAGAGTTCCAGAGACCTATTCTATCGATTGCATAGCTGATACCAATCCAGGTGAACAAGGCTTTCCCACGTACTTGAAGAACAAAAGGTTTCTATAACCGAACAATCTGCACTTGAGATTGAGTGGCTCAAGCTATCACACGACGATTTGTGAGGAAAGAAGAAAGCTATACAAAATAGGCATTTCATAAACCATACTTTTATGGAAGCTTCTCTGGATGAAGATGCTCACCGGGGTCACCTCCATGACATCCCTATCCCGTGGAAACTTCAAGTGGCTTATCATCTCAAGTCTTACACAGTTGTTTCTCCCACTATTGGGCTTCTGAACAACTACTACTCATTACACTAGGAAGTGAAATCAAAAAGTGACAAGAAAATTCTCAAAACAACTCACAAATCGTTTGGAATCCTCTAATCTTTGGGAGAATCATTTCACCGACTGTCACCGACTGAAAAAAAACTATATTAAGCAGGCGAAACAAATGGCTTTACGCGCACAGTTCGCTTGAACATTTTCATGCAAAGGTCAGAGGTCAACTTTCCTATTCATATCGTCTTGGCTATTGCAGTAGTACCTAATAGTGAACCTTTGCGTTCGTTTGGGGGGGGGGACGGCAGCTCATCCTGGATCGGGATCATAGAAGCACCTTGAAGCACGCAGCAAAATTTACCAGTATTGAAGGTGTTACTGTAGTTACTTAGCATAAATGGATTTGAATTTCTTTCACATCTCTAAACGGTTAACTAATGAACAAGTGTTTGGTCTAAACGGTTTTCAGCGTAGCTTTCAGCACTTTAGAGTATCAAGCTTAGATGAGCCAACTCAATTGTTCAGTGGCACCAGGCATCCTTGATGGTCTTGGGTTTGAAGTCCCGACCCGACTGATCGTGGTTCGAGTTCTGACAGGGACACAAAAAGTACGCACTGCTGACGAGTCCCAAACAGGAGGAAACAGCTGTCCAGTGCTCCCTGTTGGTTATCACACACATTTCCATAGCATTCAGCACTCTTTTGATCATATTCATTTCAATTAACCGATCTGGGTAAGAACGGTGTGTCCATTACTAAAACGTTCAGGTGAAACTTGTCTCAATTCCAAGTCAGTGACATTGATGAAGTGCCTTGTGGAGGAGCGCCCTCCGAATTTAATCGGTCACTGTAGGGCATGCGAGCAAAGTTATAGGTGGTTAGACAAGTTGTTTTGGGTTCTGTTGCGATGGAGTGAGGTTCTCACTTTTTGAATAACAGTGCAGTTGTTGTTTTGTATAGCTATTAATCATATGTGAACGGCATTCTAAATACATCAATCAATGAAGCTCCTTTCGCTGTCTGCAGGTCATTTGACCGTTTTGGGAAATATTTAAAGCTTTGAAAGTAAAATATTTTACCCGTTTGTTTGATTCTTTTACACATAAGCAACCTTCAATCTGGATCTCGAAGCTGGTTACCTAGTTGATGCCGTATGGTTATATGCTTTGGCCGCTGGAGAGATATTGGCTGCCGGTGGAACTATGGAGGATATTNGATATTGCCAAAGGAGATTTAATCGCTTCTAAATTGATCGATCATCGATACGAAAGCAGTCTGGGTTACTTGAATGAAATCAATGAACGTGGAGACGCTCAGGTAAACATGCTGTAGATAATGTTTTGTTTCTTTTATTTGCCCTCTCTTTCGTCGTAGTCTCAAGTTGTTTTGTGAATTCGCACAAATTGGAGGTAGGGGATTCTGTCATGATGAAATAATCGCTGTTTTCCCCTAAACAAAAATATTAAATAACATAACAGTCCACAGGAATAAGGTACAACGTAAGCTAGAGCTTTATAACATCCAAATTTCTCCCAGTGGAGGTAAATCTGGATCGTTTCATATTGAAGCATTATTCGACTTGTTGGTAGCAAATATTCTTGTCCACGCACCACAGACCTTGAGCAATAAATAGCTACATCGAACTAATTAATAATAATTAGACAAAATCATGGCAAATGTACAAAGTGCAAAGTGTATTCATCTAGTTCATCGTTTCTCGTTAGGTTCAATCTTTTAAAGCGTTATACCTCCACACCACCGTCATGATAAGCTATTGTATTACCGGGTGTCCCACACTTGTTTGCAATCAGTCAGGGTATTGTCACGTGCCCAAGTGAATCACACTACAAAGTGCTGGCTAAGAAGCCCTTCGCTCTATCATCCTAAAAATTGACCGGAACTATAGTTGTATTGTTCTTTATCGGTGTCCATGATCACTCGGAATAATTCTTATTCAGTTATCGTGCACAGCTCTGTAGTGCATTCGACGGATATACACTCGAATCATATGGTTGCTGTGCGGATACTTAGTTCAAAATCTGGAAATATTTGTGTGTTGGATTTGTATTGGTTAACCTCTATAATATGTCCATTTTGACATGAGAACGCTGACCACGCTGGCTTCAACACGGTGAAAAAGGTATCATAGGAAGAGCTATTCTCGCTCACCTAGCCGGCCCGGGTCACCAAGTGAAACCTAAATCAGCCTTGAAAGTCATCTATCGAGTACCACCTCACCCATACAAGTCGATGCTTATCCACACCCTAACCACTGCGGAAGCGATCCGCATTCGTTTATATTATACCCATTCTATATGCATAAAAGAGATTGACCCATGCCATTCAAGTGCCGTGGCCAAAGATCGATCGCACGCACGACGCATCACAGTTGGATTGCAGTGTTGTGGTGATCTAGGGGCGTGAAACACGTCGCAGCCCCTCTTCCTTTCAATCAATCACCGTGAGTTTTGAATGACTGAATGACCGTTCC